GCTCCAATAGGAAATAGTTCATTCCATCATGGGCATACTATATAAAAATGATATGCCCCAGACAAAGAGGTGCAAAAGGAGTTCTCTGGAATATTGAAAACCTGATAAGATCTAGACCAACTCACATTTTAAATCATTGACTCTTTTTTTTTTTTTTTTCTATAAAACTAGGATAGGAAAGAAAACTAACTATATAAGAAGTAGCAAATGTCAGCTTATATTTAGCTTTGTGTTGTGATCTTTGCGTGCAGCCTCATTGAATTTGCACAGGCTCTTTTGTGTATATCAGAGGAGAGAGGCCCTTCCTCTGTCATGTCCCATTTTGTGTCCTTGGCTCAAGTGGATGAATCACTGTCTCTAGAGGCTGTTGCCTCCAACTCTTTTCTGTGCAGTTAAAGTACAGAAGAGCATTAGCACTGTTTGCTGTACGCCAAAGAGAATTCTCTCTTAATTGACCTCCTACTATAGGGCACACTTCCAAATATGTCTCTTACTAATAATAACGAGAATAATAATAAGTGCCATATATTGGAGAAGGCTGTGTGCCAAAACTTCTGCTAAGCTTTGTTAGTAATTCCCACTAAATTTAAGAGACAGCATTATTTCCTCCTTGACACAGACAGGGAAACCGAGAACATGCATTTTGTGAATAGAAGAATAGAGAATTCAAACCCTGGTCATCGGACTCCAAGACTATGTTTCATTAATGAGTATCCTGCACTCCTTATTGCTGCATAAACTCAAGTGAAGAATCTTTCCTAGAGCCTCTCGAGGACTCTAAAAGGCAAACCTGAGCTAAAAGCTCATTTGTATTTTATCCATGTAGTTTCTTCCTTCCTTCCTTCCTTCCTTCCTTCCTTCCTTCCTTCCTTCCTTCCTTCCTTCCTTCCTTCCGTCCTTCCTTCCTTCCTTCCTCACCTGAGGACATTTTTCCATTTTTTTGTTCAGGTAGAGTGGGAGGGAGAGAGAGGAACAGAGAGAGAGAGAGAGAGAGAGAAACATCGACGTGAAGGGACACACCGAGTGGCTGCCACCCGCACAACCGACCAGGGCTGGGGACAAACTGCAACCGAGGTACGTGCCCTTAGCGGGAACCGAACCCAGGTCTCTCAGGACCGCAGGCCGACGCTCTAACCGCTGAGCCAAACCGGCCAGGGCTCTTTCTTTCTTTTTTAATCCCAGTTGTCCATATGCCCTTAAAATCTGAAGATTTCTATTCGTGGTGAAAGGATTTGTGTTTATATCAGAGAAGTAGTGAAGACATCTAGAATCGGGATCATTCGTGTAATTTTGAGGCCTTTTTCATTGTAAGTGGATTCTGGTATTTCTATCTATGTTTTTTCCATCTATGGGGAAAAAATAGCCTTTTCAAAAAAATGTTTTTATTGATTTTTTAGAGAGAGAGAGATAGAAACGTGGATGTGAGAGAGAGAGACATCATTTGGCTGCCTCCTGCATGCCCCCTACTGAGGATTGAGCCCACAACCCCAATATGTGCCCTGACCGGAAATCAAACCGGGACCTCTCGGTCCATGGGACGATGCTCAATCCACTGAGCCACACCAGCCAGGCCAAATAGTTTCTAAACACTATACCTAATACAAGGAATGAAGGCTTCTTGGAGAAGTAGACTTGCTGGGTCAAAAGGTACGTACACATGTAGATTCTTTGGTATTTCTTTCCAGAATGGTTATATCAAAATAGCCTTTTATACCAGTAAATTTATAGTCTTTTATACCAGTAAATATGTTTATGTATATTTATTAGTGTAGCAGTATACATTATTTTGGTTATTATATTTTCGTATGCTTAAAATCATACCGTATAATGATTTAAATTTCATAGCTTACTTTCATGTCCAGTTATCATAGCCTGGTAAGGCTGAGGGATAGGTACTGTTATGCTATTTAACATATGTGCAGACAAAGGCTCTGTTCACATGGCTAATGAGTGAGAGAACAGGCATAACATGAACAGACAGTTCACAAAAAGAGGTAAAAATGGCCCTTAGACATATTTAAAAATGTTCACACTAATAATGAGAGAAATGCAAATTAAAACAATGAGATATCATTTCTCACCTATCAGAAAGACAAACATTTTTTTTATCCTCACCCGAGGACATTTTTGCATTTATCTTCAGATAGAGCGGAAGGGAGAGAGTAGGGAAGAGAGAGAGAGAGAAACATCCATGTGAGAGAGACACATCGACTGGTTGCCACCCACACCACCCCAACCAGGGCTGGGGACAAACTGCAACCGAGCTACGCGCCCTTAGTGGGAACCAAACCCGGGACTCTCTGGTCCAAGGGCCGACACTCTAACCACGGAGCCAAACCGACCAGGGCAAGACAAACATTTCTAAACAGGACAACCTGTTTTGAAAGTTAGTGAGACTGTGGGAAAGCCAGTGCTTTCTTACGTTGCTGGGAGGGAATACAAATTGATATAACCGTTCTGGAGAGAAATACCAAAGAATCTACACGTGTACTCACCTCTTGACCCAGCAAGTCCACTTGTAGGAATCTATGCTGAAGGTACACCTCCAGTAATATCGATGTACATGTATACATGGGTTAGTATACAAACATATGCTTTGTAGATCCATCCACTAAAAGATCCTAGAAGCAGTGGCAACCCCATAGTAATGAGCACAAATAACACACAGATCTTGGTGTCTAAGCACTATACCTAATACAAGGAATCAAGTCTTCTTGGAGAAGTAGTTGATTTCAGGCCTAGAGCAGGGAAAATCGCCAGTAGATAAATACCATGTACTAATTTTTGAAAACAAGATTCATTAACGGGTGCTAAAATTAATAGGCAAAACTTGGAGGAAGAACAGGATGGTGACCTCGTCTTGGGGCCGCAGCAGTCGGAAGGGTTGACCTGGGAGCGTGACCAAGCAGCCTGGAGGAGCTGCTTCCAGGATGCCTCACCCACATGCTGTTGGCTGGAGGTCTCGTTTCCTCTCCAGAAAGCTGCTGGAGGGCCCTCAGGAAGCTGTCTTCCTCCCGAATGAGTGATCCCCGGGAGAGGGCAAAGAGGAAGCCGCGGTACCTGTTGTGACTTACTTCTTGAAATCACATACCCTTTCTGCCTGTTCTGGTTTTTAGATATTTAAAAGCCACACAATGGAAAGGGTACCTTCAGCCAGTAGCCCAGTAATTCTTTTTTTCTCTGTTTGAGTTGCCACTTCCCCTTTCGTTGCCTGCCCCCGGGCTCCCAGTTTTGGTTTAACTTTGTAGCTTGCTTCTGGGCAGGATTGTTGCGACAAGACTAGCCCTGGAAAGGAGGCGTAATATTAACCCTGCCCTATCCTCTCCCGTGAGGAAATCTTCCTACCCTCAATCATATATTACCCACCCCCCTACTTTCCGTAACAAATTGTCCAGAACCCATCTGTGAACCCATACGATTTTATAGAGCCTCTTAATAGCAAAGGTCATATTGTATTACAGTTATCACTTTTCATGTCTGTCTTCATATGTATTATATGTATTCATATCTATATCCCCAAGGTCTATCATAGTGCCTAAAAGGTCCTTAATGGGTAAATGGCTTTTCTTTTGAAATGTAAATACACTTAAGGACCTCCTAATTTAGCTATCCTGGGCTTTATCTCTCCTAAACTGCAGAAGGACAAGGGGGGAGAGATCCCCTTCAGCCCCTTGCTTACTTCCTCTGTTCACAAGCAGAACTCTAGAAGACTTTTCACATATTATGGGCTTGCTTCAGGGAGCAGAGGGTTAGCAAGGCTTCTGAGGACTCTTACGTGACAAGGAAGGCAAATAGCCCACTCAGGGAATGCCAGGAGTGGGAGGAAAGCTGGGCAAACGTTCTTGGGCACACAGTAGACTAGAAGGGATGACCTGGACCCTTGGAACTGTGTCTGCTGCTTATGTTGGCCAGAGGTCACCTTCAGAACTCTGTGCCTTGTCTCCTCATTGAATCCTTTTCCAGTCTTTGCTCCCCCATTGCCCGCCTACTTCTGGAAAACATCCGGATTCTACTTCTCTCTGACATACCTGTTTTCTGTTGCAGACCCTTCTTTCTGGATCCTCTTCCTCACTCTTCCCATTCCTGGTCATACCCATTCCGGTCCCACTCACTGACCTGCAGGTCTGGACCCCTCCCCTTCACACCTCACCAGAGGACTGGGACTTGGGGCTCCCTTTGCTTCTTTTCCCCCTGCAGCCATGGGCGCTTACCCACTCCCACATCTGCCGGGCTTCCTGAGACCCCAGCCCAGGCAGAGCCCGGTCTCCAGCCCTCCCTTACCCCCCTCCCATCTCTGTGCCCAGCGGAGGTCAGTCCTTGCTATAGGGACAGAGCTCGGCTTGTTCAGGCTGACCTGCTGACTTACATTTTTTCCTGTGGAGAAAAGTGAAACTAACTGAACAACCTATAGCAAACTTCATTCTTAAATTAAAAGCATTTCTAGCCCTGGCCGGTTTGGTTCAGCGGTTAGAGCGTCGGCCTGCGGTCCTGAGAGACCCGGGTTCGGTTCCCGCTAAGGGCACGTACTTCGGTTGCAGTTTGTCCCCGGCCCTGGTCGGTTGTGCGGGTGGCAGCCACTCGATGTGTCCCTTTCACATCGATGTTTCTCTCTCTCTCTGTTCCACTCTCTCCCTCCCACTCTACCTGAACAAAAAATGGAAAAATGTCCTCGGGTGAGGATAAAAAAAAAAAAAAAAAGCATTTCTAAAAAGTGATAGAATTTTTGTGTGAGAAGGAAATTGAATGATATTCTATTTCCAGGTATCTCGTTTTACAGTTTGAGAAATCACGGTCCAGGTGGGTTAAAGTAATTTTTCTTCAGTCTTGTTTTCTGATGCAGAATCGAATCTTCCAGCTGACATAATTTCACAGGGTTAAAGCTACAATTTTTCTCCCAGAACAGAAATTTTGAATTATGCTAACAGTATGCATTGAATTTTACATGTCACGTTACATCGGTCATAGTTACAGGAATTATAGTGCTTTTCTTTCTGGTGCAGATTTAGGTCGCTCTCGAGAACTACAGTATGTGTACGTGGATAACAACGTTCATCTGAAAGGCCTCCCGTCCTACCTGTACAACAAAGTCATCGGGTGCAGTGGGTAAGGCGACTTCATGGTTCAGCCTCTCGCTCGGCTCTTTTGCCGCCTCCGTTTCTATTTCATTCTTTGGTCTTGATCTAACACAGGAAAAGATGAACTGTTTTGATAATCCTGTTCCATTCGGTCTTTGACCTTAATATGCTAAATCTTTAGAAGCTAGGAATATCGAGCAAGCAATTTAGAGTGTTGTAATTCAAGTTCATTCAGGGAGCTGGGAGCTCAGGCAGTACATTGTTTATTATTTTCCAGTCAAAAGAAAGAAAATGAATCGACACATGTCATTATAAACTCAGTATCAGTCACAAAAATAGGCGGTGTCAGCATTCATTGAAAAGCTTTCCTTCCTGACCCTCCACTGCAGTGACAATTTACCCCAGTAACACCCTCGTATCTAGAACTTTACTACCTGGAAATACGTAGAACTCAACATTTGAAATAGCCCCTGAATACAAATCATGATTCTAGCCACCAGAGCAGATGTTTCATTTAATGAGAAGCGATAGGCGCTGATTTTCAGAGCAGAAATCATCTTTCCTTCCCAGTCGGGCGTTCAGAAAGCCAGCTTCAGCTCCTCCTGCAGCCGCGGGACAGAACCACCTCACAGTGGTTCCCAGAGTGGTTCGGGGTTAAGCTAGGACAGCTCAGCTTCCAGAACCTGCTTTTGGTTGGCCTCGCTTCCCTCACTTGAACAGCCAGAGGGTATTTGGAACACCTTCGAGACTACTTAGCGTGTTTGACTCTCTCCTTGTAATCCCCAACACCCCGCAGAACCTGGCTCGCACTCTATGTGGTTCTGGCCAGAAAAGGGATGACAATGAGCTTGTGCACAGAGAACAGCCGTTCCCTTCCTGGCAAGGCTCCAGGGGGTGGGCGCTGAGCAGTGATGGCCCCAGAGAGGACCATCCTAGAAGTAGTGGCCTTCCCATAGGAAGAATTATACAGCTGCTGTCTTAGAGGGGCCCTAGCTGAGCTCAGTGCCTGTAGAGGCTGAAGAAATACCAGCCCAGCAATATATTCCAGAACCTTCTGTCAAGCAGAGAGGATAGAATGTGTGGTGGAATTTTTTAGCTCAGTGCGTTTTCTACAGCTGAGTGACAGCTGCAGCACCGCTCGGTCATTAACCTGATGAGACCTCAGAGAGCCTGCGAGGCGGCCTGGTTCTCCCGGGGTGAGTGCAGTGCCCTCGCCACCAAGATGCAGAGGACACGAGGCTGCCAGCCAGCTCCGAGGGCGAGGCCTTTCCCCGCCCAGACCGTCTGCAGAGACCGCGCTGAAACCTGGTTCGTCTCCACCACGGATGAGAGAGAGAGCCTTCTGCCTTGGTGTTCCGATGTGAATGTTATCGACTTCCAGAACGTTCTGTTCGTTCTGAGCAGAGGTGATTTTTAATCCTTGACTTGGTGTCTGGTAGCAGAGAAAGTGAGTTTCCTAAGAACTCCACATCTTTGAGAAAATAAATACTGGGGCAAAATATGCAAATGTTTAGCTGGTAGTCTACATTTTATCATCATCATCATCATCATCATCATCATCAACATTTCCCTTTGATAGTAGTAATAAGAAAATAAATGCATTATTAGGAGAGTACCAAACGGTTTTCTAATAATGGTCGTCTTAGAGTATAAGCAGTCCCACTTACAAATGAACTGTGATCTAAAGACATTTTTATAGTTGGTTGGTTTAACTCAATATGCATTTCTCATAGAAGCAGTTTGGTACTTCTGTTCCAGAATTGCTCATTAAAAGGTTACATAACCCGCCCTGGCCGGTTTGGCTCAGCGGTTAGAGTGTTGGCCCTCGGACCAAAGAGCCGCCGGTTGTGGTCAAGGGCAGGTACCTTGGTAGCGATTCAGTCCCTGGCCTCGGTTGGGGTCGTACGGGAGGCAGCTGATCGATGTCTCTGTCTCACATTGATATCTCTCTCTCTCTCTCTCCCTCCCCTCCCCCTTCTTCCCACTCTATCTGAATTTAAATGGAAAAATATCCGCAGGAGGATTTAAAATAAATAAATAAAAATAATAAAAAGTTACATAACCTATTTCACAACCACATGTACAATATTTTATAGCAAAGCGTATTTACTATTCTAACAGATGGTCATAACTGAAGCCTTGACAACGGAATTAAGGCCCCTTCTCTTCTCTAATTTATCTGTGAATATGTGCAGAAGGGTCCCCCATTCCAAGTCAGAGTGGGGGCTGCTTTGGGAAAAGGAGGGTAAGGAGTAAAGCAGGGTTCTGAGGTCAATCTGATATAAAGAACAAAAGGGTACTTGCGCCTAGAAAATGCTCTTGATTCTGAACAAGGAATTTGGTTCACGTGTTCATTCAATGAGTACTTATTGAGCAATTGCTCCTTGTGTACATTGCTGTGCATTGATGAACAAAACAATTCAGTACCTGCCCTTGTGGACCTTATAATCTGGCTAGGGATGCAAATGAACGGTAAATAATTGAACAAACTTGGTGCTAATTCTCTTTACGGAGATGATTTGAAGCTGAGAACCTAAGGCCCAGGCACACTTGGTTCTCCACTGATCACACGTGTTGCTCTAACCCAGATGCAGGCCTGGGATATGAGAACGCAGCTTCTGGTGTACTGTACTGTCTCTGAAACCATTGCATTACTCCTTTCGGATTAAGCCTCTAAGTGGCTACAGCAACAACAGAAAAAAAAAAAAAAAAGACAGCTTTGTCAAGGACCCGTGGCACAATATAAATGTCTGATATATGTATACATAATTCACATCTCAGAAGGAAAATAGAGAATGAAGGCAGAAAACACATAAACAGGTATTAGAAAGAGCAAATAACAAATACCGCACAGTTTCAAGCAATCTCAGAAGTCTCACAAAATTACATTTGACAGTCATGAAAATGTGAATAAAGTTAGCACTTCCTTATTATATGTTCATTTATTTGTCAAATAATTATTGAGCATTAACTAGCAAGTTAGCACTGTGCTAAGAATTGTGGAAAAGATAAAGATGACAGATATTTATCCTAATATACAAATTAACTGCAACATAAAAAAAAATAAATACCCTAAGGTAGAGTGCTGGAAATTTAGAGCATGGGACCATCTTTTGTGATCTAGCTTTGAAGTCCCACACTGTCGTTGCTGTTGTGTTCTGTTTATTACACAGGACAACCCTATTCACCGTGGGAGGGGACCGCATGAGGGAGTGCATGCTGGGAGGGGAGGACCATGGGACCCATCTTGGAGGCTGCCAGTCACAGCTTCCCTGCATTTTGCTAATCTCACAGAAAAGTATCATTTTTGTTTCATCTCTGTTGTTGTTGTTTTTTATTGCTACTATAGGAGTAAATGTCTTCGATTCTACAGTTTACCCAAAAGGAGAAGTCCCTCCCGGGTTAGAATGTGGGAGAGTGGTAATTGGCACATTAGCTTACTCAGGAAACCCTCATGGTAAACATGGTTCTGTACCAGAGTTATTTTTCCAGTCGTCTAATTATATGAGAAAAAAGTAAACAAAGCTACCACTCTACCTTTTCTTACCTAAATAAGCAATTATAGCTGGATTTGGGTACAAATTGCTTAAATGACTTGATTAAATGGTTTGTTAATATAACCACTCAAGGTGACAGAATTGTTTATATAAGAAATGCATTCTGAGTCCTGAGGTAAACCAGCACACTAAAATATATTCTTTAGATCACACTTCATTTCTATGGGGGGCTACCTACATCTGCAAAACGAGCAATATTGAATATCTGAACCATTCCCCCATGGGGCAAGCATAAAGTAGCCTAGCTACAGATAAAAAAAAATCCAAATTGTGATTTTACTCAAGAGACAGAGTATGTAGTTTGATTCCAATGAAGTAATGAATTAGTTATTAAAACAAAAATATTAACATTGCTTTTAAATGTTAGAGGAATACAACAGAATCCAGACTCTCTACAATCTAACTTTTACAGTGTTCAGGATACAACCCAAAATTACATAACATGTGAAGAATGAGGATTCTGAAGGGATAAGGGCCTGTTCTCATGGGAAAAGACACTCAGCAGAGACCACTCTGAGATGATGCAGGATGTTAGAGTGGGAGACACTCAGCAGAGACCACTCTGAGATGATGCAGGATGTTAGAGTGGGAGACACTCAGCAGAGACCACTCTGAGATGATGCAGGATGTTAGAGTGGGAGACACTCAGCAGAGACCACTCTGAGATGATGCAGGATGTTAGAGTGGGAGACACTCAGCAGAGACCACTCTGAGATGATGCAGGATGTTAGAGTGGGCAGATACGGAATGCAAAGCAGCTATTCACAAACACAGAAAAATAAGTTTGCAATGACTGAAAAGACCAGGAAAAAGAAAACTATAAGAGAAACAAGTGGAAGTTCTAGACTTGGAAAATAGAATACCTGAAATAAACTTTACTTGATGGGCTTAACAACAGAATGGGTATAACAGAGGAAAAGTCAGTAAACTTGTAGGTGGATCAATAGAAGTGTTTCACTCTGGAGAACACAGATAAAAGATTGAAAACAAAAACCCAGCACTGGGGACCTGCCAAATAATATTAAAAAGCCTGATTGATAGGTGTGTAATTGACATCCCAGAAGGAAGTGAGAGAATGGGGCAACTATAGCAACAAAAATGTTTAAAGAGCCCTGGCCGGTTTGGCTCAGCGGTTAGAGCGTCGGCCTGCGGTCCAGAGAGACCCGGGTTCGGTTCCCGCTAAGGGCATGTACCTCGGTTGCAGTTTGTCCCCGGCCCTGGTTGGTCGTGCAGGTGGCAGCCACTCGATGTGTCCCTTTCACATCAATGTTTCTCTCTCTCTCTCTTCCTCTCTCTCCCTCCCACTCTATCTGAACAAAAAATGGAAAAATGTCCTCGGGTGAGGATTTAAAAAAAATGTTTAAAGAAATAATGTCTGAAGAGTTTTCAAATATGATGAAAGACATAAATTTACATTTTCCAGAAGCTCAGAGAATCCCAAGCAGTATACATTTACAGAGAAAACCATGCC